TGTTGGAAAACCGCCCATTGAAAGGAAAATTCAAAAACCCCCCCCCCCCCCCCCCCCCCCCCAAAGGTGTATAAAAAGTTAATTGATGACGAAAAGCCATTTGATATCTTAGACCAGTGGTCGGTAAATTGCGGCATTTTGACATTGCACTTCTGTCCCACAAACAACGACAAATGCAGGAAAATACATGGAATGTAGACAATATTTCAGCACAGCTTGGTCGGAACATAAATAGAAGACACGAAAAAGAACATTGAAGATGGACACATCTAATATATAACTAACTCTCCTTAGCAGGAATTGCATAGGAAGAGGTGGAGGTCTTCACCAAATTCTGTGACATAAATTATGATGCATGGTGGATTTGAAGCAGATGTTAGGGCTAGAATGGGAAAGGCTAGGTTAGCATTTTTGCTGTTAAAGAAAATATGGGAATCAAAGAAGCTGACTATGCAAAATAAAGTTAGGACTTTTACCATAAATGTCTTATCAATCCCACTCTATGGAGCCAAAACTAACTTGGAGAACAGCGAGTACCATGTCACGCAGAAAGGACAGACCTTGACAAACACCCGTCTGAGAAAGACCCTGAACATAAAATCGCCAAACATCGTCAAAAAAGACTTACTGCAGAGGCTATATCAAGGAAATGAGTGAAACAAAGTATGGCGAAATTGAAAAAAAGGTTGCAACAAAACAACAAATGTGTCTGCAATAAGCATTCCTCAGCGAACAAACAACAGTAAAAAAAAACAATACAACATAATAATAAACACTTAGCTGCAATGCAGTATCCAAGAGGACAGCAAGAAGAATTTCAGGTTTTCCAATACCGTACTTTGTTTCGCTCATTTCCTTTTACCTAACCTGATTGTAGTCTCTTCCCCTATTTACCAGAGGACATATCAAGAGCCTATTGCTGAATATATCAAAAAGAAAAGATGGAAGCGGATAAGGCACACGTGTCGTAAACAGTCAGAAAAATCACCAGACAATCCCTATCATTGAGCCCTCAAAGAAAATGAAGAGAGGAAGGCCAAAGAGTACATGTAGACACGAGCTAGAGGCAGACATGCAAAGCATGGGATACATGTAGACATGAGCTAGAGGCAGACACAAAGTATGGGATACAACAGGAAACAAAGGGAAAAGAAGCACATTGACCAAAATGAATGTAAAGCACTTGTTATAGACAGTCTATGCCCCAGGTGGGGTATATCAGACTCAGGCTCATTCCTAAATTTTTTGACAGGATAGTCCCTAAATACCGGTACTGCATACTAGCTCAGGGTGGTTTCTGTCTGATAACATAACAATATAGCGGGATGAATTGTAAATTTCAATATTTTTTTCTTTCATAGTCTTCACAGTGAGTGAGTTCTGTGTCAATTCAGAAATGACTGTTTTTTTTTTTTTTACATCTAAAACTAGTGGTACACAATATCAGTACCACAAATATTGTTTTCAGTATGTGATCAAGCTTGTTAAATATGTTTTAAGAGGATATCATAGATGTAATAAACATGTATCCAAGATTGTAATTTTTTAAAAAAGTTGAAAATTGCTTTCAAAAAGATAAAAATTGTAAATTTCAATATTTTTTTCTTTCATAGTCTTCACAGTGATTTAGTTCTGTGTCAATTCAGAAATGACTGTTTTTTTTTTTTTTACATCTAAGACTAGTGGTACACAATATCAGTACCACAAATATTGTTTTCAGTATGTGATCAAGCTGTTAAAATATGTTATAAGAGGATATCATAGATGTAATAAACATGTATCCAAGATTGTAATTTTTTAACAAGGTTGAAAATTGCTTTCAAAAAGATAAAACAACAGGAGACATAACCAGGTCCCTTTTCTTTTTGTGGTGAAATGCAGGCAGTCCTCTGAAAACCAGATAAGCCACATCACTTATTTTGATATTTATATGACCATGTCAATCAATACAAATGGGAGTAAATTGTGTATTTCCTAATTATATTCATCAGAAAATAATATACTTTTGTTCCCTTTTCTATATAAATGTACATTCTATTTAAACATTAGGTCTGTGTGGTATTTAAAGTGGTAGTCAGAGACGGTACTGGTGCACAAGCCCCCAGCGCCAAAAAGTGTGTAAGTTATAAGTCAGAGAAGATAGAAAAATAATGATAATAAGTTGAACATCTGTCCCTATGTGGACAATACTGGCTGGTCTGCTCCACTCAAAAGTTTCTAAGCATTGCATTTTTTATCCAATTGACAAGCCCAAACACATAAGGCTAATCATAAAAAGTGGTAAAAATTTTATAAAATTTATACTCAATTGAACTTTTAAGACAAACTTTTTGGAGACAACACTAAAAAAAAAGTTCTATTTGCTTTTGTAGGAAAATCATTTTATTTTAAATGGTTCATTCTTATTTGCATACAGTCAGTACATTTGATAACAAAATGACATACAACTAAATATTGTACACTGGAAAGTGGATTGTCTCCTTGTGTACACAGATACTGGTCAGACACAGCTTAAGTTTATCAATGCCTGAATACAGCAGTGCGCCATTCAAATAAATTTTGCTTCTGTATAAATTTGCTAATTGTGCTATTAAAAAATGTATTTGTACTGGTTTACCAGTTTTTATATTTGCATTTCTTAAAAAAATTTTTAACAACCTGTTCCATATGTCAGTTTAAATTTAACCAGTTGAATGAATGGCTCTCGCAAACCAAAGCCTAAACATTCTTTTAATACCGGTGTTGATCAATAAATTAATTATTTTTGCAAACCAACATTTCACATGGTTACAAATTTAAATTTGATGAAAGAAGTGTTCAGAAAAATAAAATTCCAAATCTAATAAAATAAAAAATGAAATTATAACCCTTCCAAAGATAAACAATATTAAAATGTATGACAATTGTTTCCATGGTGAAATGATTACACCATTAAAACTGCCATGCTTTTGGTAAACAAATGCACCTTTTCTTAACTTGAAAAAAAATTAATTAACAATGTAAGCCATGATATCAAAAGAAGTGGTAGAAATATACACATTACTGGTATGCCACACTCTTGATAAACAAGAAAATATGTATCATTAAATTATTTATTGAATGTCACACATACCATGCAATTTCATATTTTAAAGATAACTATACAATGGTCAATAATTACACATTTTTAGCCTCAGAAAACATTGAATTTTGTAAAAACGCATGATTTTATTTTTTCACTTAAAGTTTGCCTTTAACAAGAAAGCAGTATGGAGAATGTGCTGTTAATGCAAGTGTGATGTCAATTTGAATAATGCATCTTTAGAAGAAGTTAAAATTATGTGATTTTTTTTAGCAGATAAAATTGTTATTTTACAGCTATTTTTATGAGTAAACCTAAATTATTTTCTTCACTATAATTTCGATTAGGAACATCTAATTTCAAGTAAACAAATGCCTAATTCCAATCTGAGATTTTTGTTTGAATTTAACATAAAAAAAACAGGTAATTCAATACCGGTTTATGGTGTTTTTTTCTTCTTTTCTTGGTTTTCCAATGATGATATTATGACCAGGGCAATGGTTTCTAAATATTCAGCAAAAAAAAAATATGGACTTGGATTAACTAAAAAGAGAAAGTACAAATCAGTCACAGGTCCCGTCCTTCCAACCATCTCTCCACCGCTCAAGAACCTGAAATGAGATGTAATACATTTAAAAGAAATCAGATACTTGGATAAAGAAAAAAAAAAACCCAGTACTATTGAAATGTAAAAATTAGACAGCCAACATGATAAGCGGTTGCTCAGAAAAGTTATTTTGAATCTACCGGTAATGTCGCTAGAAGTATGCCACTGAAGAGCATATCAGTATATCCCTTACATCAAAGAGTTATGTGATCCGAATATCAGTGAAAGAAATGACAGAGGGTCCAAAACTCAGGAAAATTTGTAGACATCTTATCCATTTATAAATTAAATATATCAGAGTTCAGGATAAATTGATAAAATGCACCTTTGGTGAAAAAAATGGCAACTTATTTGACTTTCAGTTTAAAAAAGATGCCCATCTGAAATAATATTAGGCAAAGCTGCTTCTGCAATGCTCCTCCACTGGCGGCTATGTTGCTGCTCTATGGGAAATTTGCCAAACTACACATTTCTTTAAATTTTATCTTAATTTGTTCAAGTCATTACAGAAATTTAAATTCATACACTATTTAAATTAATGTACAGTAATATCGTGAACAGTCTAAGCCTGTAGTAAAAAAAAGAGAACCATCAAACTCATGAGGTTTTAACAGTTAGGAAATAACCGGATTAATTGATTAATAATAAGGTTTGGTTACCCCAGTACTAGTCGAATTAACCTCAGGATAAAAGTGTAATGCTATTTGGTTCTGTGTCATGGGGGATGTGCTTGTATATTAAACATATAATTATAAATTTGGTAAAATCATATAAATAATATTTAGATTTAAATTTAAAATCAAGATGGCATTTTCTGAAGCAGTGAGCAGCTAACTTTCTTGGGACAAAAAAAAAAAATAAAAAAATTGACAGCCTGAAGTAAAATTGCTGAACTGGTAGTCTTACCATCTTATCAGATATGTCTAAATTAGTTAGGAATTAAAAAATTGTCATAAGTAAAAAGAAAATAGTGATTCCTACTCCTAATATTTTGCATCTTAAAACATGGAAATGGAATGTGGATACCATAATTTTAAGAAATACTTTTACAGGGGTCACACAAAAACACACAAGTCTATTAAAATATAAACAAAAAAATATATTTCAGGAGCAATTTTGTTATTAGAGCGCCAAATATGTAGACAGACTTGAATAAGTACCAGTTGTGCCTTAATATTTTACAAGAAAACCATGAGCTGAATAAGCTTCAGTACCAGTGCATAACAGCTTTTGAAATTTCGAATGACAATCTGAAACCAGCAATAATGAGTCCTTACCTTGGAGCAGTCAAACTCAACTTTTCCCAAACGAACATTTACACTGTTATGAAGCTTGCAAAACCAGTCAGATAATTTTATATTACTGCAAGTTTCTGGTATATTTGTCTTCAAACTGCAAAATAAATAATAGCATAAAAAATTTTTGGAATTAAATCTATACGAAACAACATTAATCAAACATTTAAATATATTAATGTCAGGGGTTCTTATCAAACACAACTACTATTGGTAACCAGAGCACTTTGGCCCAGTAATCAGCTGAAGTTAAAACAAACAAAACTAATTTTAAAATGAATATTTTTAAAGCTTTATAATAAACTGAAACTAACAGTATAGAAATAGAAAGATATAGTCAGTTAATATAAGTTAATTATTAATAGATTCTGATATTTAGCTCATTTACAGTTACTGTACATAATTTTATGTATATTATTTTGTTAACTCAACTCTATGAATGAAAGCATTGAACAGGTTAAAAGTTTGCCTTATTTGGTAAAAGAATTTTTATATATATAATACAGTAATTGATTTCCAAGATTAATCACTTGAAGAGGGTACAATTTGACAAACACCTACTTTTCCTGGTTTCTTAGTATGGTATTAATCAGTCGAGATTAGCTCAATGCTAAAACATCCCTATATATACTGTCTTTATAATACTTATTAGCATGCTATTATTTATGCATAAATTTTTATTGATCAAAACCACAGTAAGAAAAGTAAATTCAATTTTTATGGTCACTGTGCCATATTTATCAAATGACTGCCCTATTTAACCAGAAACAACTATAAAATTGCATTTATTAATGATGCAGTAATAAAATTTTCTCATTCACTTTTGAGCAGCTTGTCACATGCATAAATAATAATAATAATAATAATAAAGTTCATTTCAAAAACACGCTTCATCCCCAAAGGCTCGAAGCGAGGTACAAAGTCAACAAAAAACAAATATAGAAACTTACTCTTCACGCAAGTGTGAAGCACACTTATGACATGGATAAAACATTGACAAAAGTGCAATGAACTTTTTCATGTTATGCTGCTGTTCTGGAGTTGGCTTTTCAGGATAATATGCTGCCATAGTGTGGAGGAAAGCCCATGTGTTACGACCCAACAGTTCAGAATCTGGAGGACACTCTTTCTGTTCCCTCTCTTCTCTGCTCATGTTCTAGAAAAATTTGAAAACACTATATACCCCACTTCATAAGATCTAATTATTATAATTACTATCGTTTAAATTTATCAATGAAAAAGAAACTTGATAACTTTTAATTTAAAAAGAAAAAAAAACCCCAGGAAATTCTGATGATCAAAAGATAGATCTATGGACATTATTTTCATAAAAATGTATAGTTCTTAATGCTTAATTTAGATTTAAAAATAAATAGATTTCTTTTTTAGTAGCTGATGGAAGTTTTTGGAAAAGTTATTTATGGAGGCCTGAATGTACAGTGATTTATTTAAGACCAACTATTTCTTTCATTTTAGCAGCTTTGCTATATCTATTGTCTCACTGCCCAGCTTAGTTCCCTAACAAACAGGGCACTATAGTCACTAATTATAAAAGTGGACTGCGATAAAGCTAATTAGTAGATTAATGAGACACAAATAAGTTGTGTAATTAAAACAAAAGATTTTAAGCTTTAATTATGGTTACACAAAATAAATTCTTTTAGCAAATGCCTCCTTCAGGACATTCATATATGTATAAAATAACTTTATAAAATAATATATGGTTCACAAGTTCCCAACGAAAACAAAACTCAAAAGAATGGGCACAAGTCCCTAACGAAAACAAAACTCAGAAGAACTTTGTTTTCTTTAGGGAGACGTGCCCATTCTTATTCTTTTCTTTCATTTTTAGGTATAGGTAGGATATATATTTATGTTAATTTAATTTATACATATATTAATTTTTTTGTTGTACAGATAAAGGTTTGCAAAACATTGAAAATTGTATTTTGTGTAATCATAATGAAAGCTCAACATATATTGTTTTTTTACACTTTATTCCCTCGTATTCATATTCTAATTTATACGATATTTCTCATTTAGCCCATTATCAAAGGAATATTTATATATATATAGTCTAAAAACAGTGGAGTACATAGTAAGTTTATGACCCCCCCCCCCACCCCACCCCATAATCAAACTATCATGTCTCGAATAACTTTTTGACAGAGTTGGTTGCGATTTAAAATAGTTACAAAATCAATAAAAATCGTCAACTATGAGCTGCCTAAACACAATGTTTCAATGAGAGATACCAGTATAGAGTAAAGTAATGGTAACAAACCCTTCTTGGATGTGCAGTGAGTTCCATCCAAGTTTTGAAATCTGTACATGCTTTACAATGTGGCATTGGTTTTTTAACACCTGATTCCCCAGCTCCAGTTACAACACTACTTTCATCAACAACTTGAGACTCCACAGTCTGGTTTTTTGATTTCCCAATTTTAGCAAAGTCAAACGGTATTGTCATATTTTCAAGGAATGAATAGGGGTCATACTGTAAAAGAATATTTATAAAATCATTTTAGACTGAATTCAAAAGTAAAAGCAATACAAGGTTTATTTTTTTTTAAATTTTTCTCCCCTGCAAGTACTGCAAGCTCTGAACATCTGTTGCATTACCAGTGCCCCAGTATTATTATCTTTAAAATACAAAAGTATTTTATATTTCCCCATTGCCACCTGTCATCAGCCTCAGATATTATTAAGCATTTTTCAAGTTAGGCCTATAAATTTTGTGAAAACTTATAATTATAATACAGGACTGAAACATTTCTTAAATTCTACACTTGTAATAAAATTAATGAACTTTTTAACTCATCTGTTGTTTTATATTTTATTATAGTACAATCTTTTAATATCTGGACATTGGTTATAAAGATAGCAGACTTGTATTTTGCTAACTTAGCAAACTTGCTTTGTATGTATCTATTGTATGTATCTATTAGGGTTGCGCTGATTAGCAAATGGCAGAATACACATCATTCTGACTTGCTATATTTTCCACAGGTTATTAAGTATTTAGTTTTGAAATGCAGAACCAAATAATAGTATTAGTATGGCATAATTGCTCTTGAAGACATTTTTGATAGGCAAACTAGCTGATTAATCTGTCAAAATCGTTGATTATACATAAAAATTAAATAATATTTCACTAGGCCTAGTCTAGACCATTTAAATTTCGAAGACTTAATTTGACTTAATAAAATTTATATTAACAATGCACAAGTTTAATTATTAAAATGTGATAGGCTAAATTAACCAAGTCTAAAGACTAAGGCCTAGTTTTAGACTAAGTCTAGGCTTTAGTAAAAGTTTTAGTAATGTTTAGCCTAAACTTTAGGTCTAATAATAATTCATTTGGCTAGGGCGCCTAGACCTAGGCTAGGCCTCATTAAAAAAAATAATAAAGTCATACTCTGTTGGCTCTAGATTTTCGTTCCACTGTTGCCGCTTCATCAATGTTATGAGCAATTAAAACTGAAGATTCATCAGCACTTGATATCGTCTTTGCCCGCTCTCTGATCTTTGGTTTCTCATGATCAGCATCGGCCCTCAGAATATTTTTAGCTTTTGAAGTCATTTTCTTTTCTGGTGACGACATGGTTAAATTTTAATATACTTTCTAATTTCTTTGACAAGAGTAGAGGCAGAGGATCTAGGCCAAATAAGTTGTTAGGCGCTAGGACTAGGAGAAGCAAAACTTCACTGAAGTGAATTTCTGTCACTGTCACTCTAACGGTTGACCGAGTTGCTCTAACTTTACACGATACAATGCAGTGTAAGTGTTTTTACGACCGATATGAGTAATATGACGTAATTCTTAAATGGAAGGTCAGCTCATTTCAGAAGAGTTGATTGGCCTTATTTTATCTTTATCTTTTCAAACTTATTTTCGAGGAGCTTATCATTTTCGTATAACCTCTATGAGAAGCGCCATACTTTAGACAAATATTGTGACGAAAGCACACACTACGTGTGACGTTTAAGGACTTTAATTTTGTGTGACGAGATTAAACTTGGTTCGCGATCCTTGAATTAGAACTCTTTTTTTTATTGTAATTACATACAACACAGCCAATATCCGCTCTTCTAATACAATAATGAAAAAAGACACGCAGAAATAACTCTTCTCAAAATCTTATTAGTGGCTCCATTTACAAAATCGGAGATAAAAGTTCATGTCACTTGTTACACGTAAGCGTGTTTCGATTTTGGGACCATCCAAAAAATGGGGGTCACATTTTTGTGACGATGGGTATGGGGTGTTTAAGCAATGTGACGTCACATTACAAGCGGAACATTATTGAAAAAAATTGCGATTAATATCACTAGATTGCAGACATTTTTAACTTTATTCATTGTACAACAATTATAATTATTTTATTTTAAAACTACGATCCCTGAGAGAATCAGTACAGGTATGCGAGGTCCGAAAATGGCCTCTGAACAAGTTACAGAATACCACGGAGGAGGAGAATTGGGGTGTAGTGACAATGACAGTCGTGATAATTTATATCTAAAAGTGAATACGTGAGTGATTATATTGGGGCCACCACGTTAATTGTGGGATGGAACTAAAAATTTTGACCGGGGGTGGTGGGGTGATCTTAGTAAATATTTCCCAGCGCTGCATCCTTTCTCAATTTCAAAACATTTTTAGCACCCCTCATCCCCGCATGATTTATATTGTAATATTTTTTAATGATAATAATTAAATAATTAAGTTATTTCAAGGGGGGTGGGGGGTTCAGAGGTTTGTGATGTTTATGTGAGGGGGGTCTAACTTTTTGTGACGATGGCGATGGGAAGAGTGTGTGTCAAAAATTGGAAAAAAATTGCGTAAATTCATTTATGGATGGCCCCATAGTCATAGAGCTTGATAACAAATATAATATATATATATTTAAGCATGACTAATGTTAAATTATTTTTGTTTTTGAGATAAATAATTGATTATTTATGAAACTATAAGGGATAATGACTAACTACACTTTGAAAGTAATAAAGCCGAATACATGAAATTGATATATTTAATATAGCTTTAATATGGATAGGCCTAAGTCAAGTGTAAAAATACTTAATATATTTTACAAATGGATAAAAATATTAAAGAAAAATTGCTGCTATGTCAATAGGTCATAATATACAGTCTGAATCATGAATATGAAGCACCCACTGTTGAAGAACATTGAATTTGCAGTAGGCCTATGTAAGAATGCCCCACTAATGGCCACTTCCCAACAACATAATCATTTGCTGCTTTTTTTAAATTTTAGATGTGAATTAAAAAGCAAATTTTATATTTGTTTGAATATTTAAGAATTTTTTTTTTAGTATTCTAAAATCTTTATCAACTTAGTCTTCACATTGTCGGGTGCAATTTTTCTACGTTTAAAACGGAACTGTCTCGGTCACGTAAATACAAACTTGAATTGACTCAAATCGGCTTTTGTAAACCGAGTCACTTCCAAACGTTAACCGAATAAACAACCTTCAAAACAATTATGTTGAAGAAAGGTAATGACTAAATGAGTGATGCTAAAACACCTTGTTTATATATTTGTAATACCAACTATTGCATTCTTAGTTTGGCGGATAGTGATGGAATAGACTGAATTGATTTGTCAATAGTAGATACGTCGGTTATGAGTCTGATAATATGATAATGATAAGTAAAATAGTATTATTATTAGTATTCGTATAGTCATAGTTTAGTATAATGTGTAGAATGGTATGGTATAGATAGTATAGTCTATAGTCCAGTTACTGGACCAGTGTGAGTGAGAGTGGTTGGCAAACTCATCAGTCAAAAGAGCCAAAAGTCAGCAGCAGGACCATTCAAAAATTTGTTGAGAGCCATAATTCTTTTCAAGAACCATATTTTTTCGGAGTCAGAACCAATTTGTGGCTGACTGGCCGAGCCGCACTCAGGTCGCTAAAGAGTCGCATGCGACTCGCGAGCCACGATTTGCCGACCACTGGTGTAGACAGTATAGTCGTATAATAGTATATTTATTTACTTAGTTAGTTTAGTACTAATCTACTATAGGTATTTCGGTAAGATCCGGGAAGTGCCGAAAACCGGGTATCGTGATTTCGTTGTCAAAATGGCGACCTCCACTTTTTAATTTACCGAGAGTCACGTTGTTTACAACTTTTTAACTATTTATAGCCCAGCATGTTAATTCTATTTCCGCCCACAACTTAGAGTAGACATGTTGTGTTATGATTAGACACTTGAGTCCCCCAAAAAATTTTGGGGCTTCACTTTGAAAATTGAAGGTAAAATAACGCAATTTTTACTCATTCGTATTTTTTGTGTGGAAAAGAACCAATTTCAAGGACTTTATAAATAATGGCATTAACTACAACATATCCAAGACCTGTTAATTTAGGACCATCAGTTTGGTCAGAAATTTCCTGGGAAATTTTAGTCACGTGTGTCCCAAAATTACCTATTATCGTTAATATTCGTTGCTATGGTAAATAACCTGATTTACTCTGGAAATCCAGACTATTACCCCCTAATAACTTATTTAGAAATAAAAATAAAATAATTAATAAAACAAACACATATTTTTAATATGATTTGATGCTTTTATTGAGGGATATTAGGTTAAAAAAGCATAATTAATTACAATTAATAGTTAACTATTAGTTTTATATACTGTTGTTATATGTATACTGTTATAGAGAGCTTGTTTACATCATATTTCTCGTGCGTGCCCTCTGATTGACCCCGCATGAGACGCTGTGTTCACAAAGGGGTGTGGCTTAGGTCTTTGATGTATTCTTGTTTACGCCGCCAACGAATAAAAATAATTAATCTGTTCCAAATAGTATTT